TGTAACAGAAATAGTCTAGTTTCCTTCATGGGTCATCTGTGCTGAATGGAACAGGAGCTGAAAATGCTCTCTGAAACAGAACTGAGTGCAATATTTGTAACTACTACTGCTCTGAACCTTCTGAGACACAGGGAACTGTGCATCCAGCCTTAAACGTGACTGGGCCTTCCCCAGTCTGCTGCCATTTCTTATTTTCAGTTCCATGTGATGGAATAACAGCTGCTGGTCTGGGAGTGGGAGATGTTTTCCTTCACACGCTGATCCCTCGCTGTGGAGTCCAGCACAAAGCACATTTCTGGTAACTCCTTCATGCTGGTGCTACTGTCTCCTCCCATTGCCGGCAATGGGGGACGGGCCAACACAATCCAATTCCTGTCTTTTGGGGTAAAATGGTGATGGTGGCCAGGGTCAGGTGGCCGTCAGAGACCCCCTTTAGCATGGCACAACCATTGCCCATTGGAAATCAATACAGAGAAAGTGCTGTAGCAGCTTCTGGAGCTGCCAGAAGCATGAAACAACTTTATTGGTAGAGATGGGGTTATGCACTCCTCCCCATCCCTTCAGTTGTGTGAAATCATGGGTTGGGACACAAAGAGCTTGATTTTGGTTTTGTTTCTGTTCTGGTTTGGGTTTTTTTGAATGTAGGCCAGAGATAAATTTCAGGTTTATTCTATACTATTATCACTCTCTTTGCCCACACTTGTGCTTGTCAGGTTCTTATTAAATGCAAATAGGGCTTTCCTTTGCATAGACTTTGGTTGATTCTTATCTCCCAAAAAACCCCCATTGATCATTTTGGGGGCACAAGTAAGTGGCAGGAACATGGAGGTGGTAGTGTGTGGACAGCACAGGGCTCCAGAGACAGATGGAGGCGGTTGGCTCCAGATTGTGCTGGACTCTTCTGATGCTGGCGTGAACTAAAATCGTTTTGGTTTCTGGGAAGTTTCTTGCAAGAGTTTGAGTTCTTGCCCTGAATGGAGAAGTTTTGCATCTGAGTGTGCAGATGTTCCGCGATGTTTCGGTGTGTGACTCACGCTTGGTTTGTGACGTGGACAGAGGTTGCTTGGGCTGCTGCAAGCCCAGCTGACGAGTTTCTGTCTTGGACTCTTTGATGACAAGATACCACAAAAGACCCTCAGTGTGTTCTAGTGCTCCGCCAGCTCTACAATTAACTCTGATCTGGGGGAGGGAGCAAAGAGAGACGTGTTGGCACTAGAAGAGACAAAAGTGAGATGTTGAGACAAACATTTGAAGGCAAATGTACTCTGGGTAACTGTCACCGATATTCCTACGTGTTGTGAATAAGAGAAGTACCTTCTACCAAACCTGGGAATGTTAAGTGGAGTTTTACAGTAACTCAAAGACTTAAATGTGGAAGTTTTAGGCAACATTGAAAGGCACATTTTATTTCATCCTGGACAAACCTATGGATAACAGAAGACTAATGCACAAGAAGGAATACAAGATAAGCATTGAAGTAAAACCTGGACCACTTTGCTTATGTTTCTCACTTGACATTTTAGCTGCATAACAATGTGCTTTGAGTATAACATCAGGCTTTAACCAGTACTTAAAGACAGAACATACATCGGTAAGATAATAAAAGGCTCATTTTTATATTTGTTTTAGATGTTTTAACTAGATAAAAATGGCTTAAGATGACAAATAAAAATGTTGCTTGTAATACAGTTTTGCCTGCTAAATTATCCACATTTTGTAACCTGTTTATTCCTTTGGATGTAAAGCGTTTTTGCTTAGTATTGTGATATTGTATATGTTTTGTCCCAGTTGTATAGTAATGTTTCAGTCCATCAACCAGCTTTGGCTGCTGAAATCATACAGCTGTGAAGACTTGCCTTTGTTTCTATTAGATGGCTTTTCAGTTCTGTATTAAATATCTTAAGTACTATAGAAAAGGTGTCCCCTCTTCCTATAAGGCTGTTTTGTAATATATATAAGGACTGGAAATGTGTTTTTAAAAAAGAAGAAGCATTCAAGTATGACGATATACTATGTGTTTTCACCATTCAAAGTGCTGTTTTAGTAGTTGAAACTTAAACTATTTAATATCTCATTTAATAAAGTGACCAAAATACATCAACGTGCCTTGTGCTACATTCACAGTCCAGTGTTGACTCCACAGGGATTCAGCCTGGGAATGTGTCTTTGGAGAACTGTGCTGTGAGTTGAAGCTCTTACTGTTTTCTACAATGACTTTAGTGGATATGGCCATTGATTTCATTTGGGGAAAATAGCTGTGGTCTGCGTTTTCAAATTACTTTATTAAAAGCAGCTTCTGCCAATATGTCTGTTAAAAATGAAATGAGTTGTCCAGCAGTGAGATGGTTAAAAGTGAGGTGAAGTTCTGTTTAGTCAAATCAGAATAAGGTGCTGCTGTATTTTAACCTGGTATTTGTACTTCTCCCTTCCTTAGTCATTAAATCCCCCCTGTTGGGCACAGCACCCCCTTTCCTATGCAAAGGAAAGTGTAATAATTGTGTTTAAAGGTGCCCTCTGCTTGTTCCCTGGCACTGCTGGGGCTGCTCAGGGGCACGGCCGGTGTTGGTGAAGCTGAGGGAGGTGGGAATGGTGCCCGAGGTGAAAACTGGAGTTGTGCTCCAAGGGGCCCTGTGGGCAGCGTGTTTTAAATATCCCTGTGACTCTTAACTTGGCTGAGCACTGATGGAAGGCAGTGGGCAGCTCAGGCTGGATGTGGCTGTCTGTGTTGGGCTGGGAAATGTCCTGGGACGAGTCCCATGTCCAGAATGTTGTGCTGAGGTGTCCCAACACTGACCAGCCCCGCTGCTGTGTCAGCTGTGCCCAGCCTGAGCAGCTTTTGCCTTTATCTTAAAAGCAGAACCACTCTGCACACAGTAAATAAAACTAAATTCATCAGTTCAAGAAAAAAATAGTTTTGAAGTTGGATAGATTTTCAGTGTTTATGGAAAGCCAAGTGTCCTAAATGTTCCCAGCTGGAGGAGTCTGGAAAAAAGCTGGTGTTTCAGCACCAGCACCAGTCATCACGTGGTGTCTGAACTCCCCAGACCTGCTCAGGTGTCAAATAACCCCTGTGCCCCCTCTGTGCTGTGGAACCCACCCTGGGGATGTGGCCTGGGACACAGCACCAGCAGAATTCCAAATGTGGCGCTGGCAAAGCTGTGCTGCTGTGAAGGGTCTGGACAAGCTCCTGCCCAGCTGTGTGTGCCTGGGATGAGCAGGGTGAGTTCATCCTGTGTGTGACCCTTTCAGGCAGCCACAGCTCCTGTTCCTGCTTTCCCCAGGGAGGAGATGGCTTGGGGGTCACTGCAGGAGAGTGGGAAGGGGCTGTGGCCCGAGTGGGGACACTGCCCTGGAGAAGGGCAGGGGCTCAGGGAAGACGGGGTCACCCCTTGGGTCTGTGCTCAGCCACTTCCAAGGTCTGATCTCAAAACCACCACCCTGGCCTTGTGTGCACAAAACCTGCTTGAGAATGAGTGAGACAGGAGCTGGTACCTGAGGCACCCCTCAAAGGCCGATGCAGCTGCTTTAGGAATTCAGTGTTGCTCATTTCCCGGCGTTCTCACCATGCCCACGAGCAGCAGCAGTGGAGGACACGAGCCCTGGCCATGTCTGGTGTGGTGGCCTGCCCTGCTTGGTGGCATCTCAGTGCCAGACACCTCCTGGCACAGCGAGGGAAGAGCCTGAGAATCCCTGGAATTTGCTTCCCAGGGCTCCTGCTCAGCCCCAGCGCAGGTGTGAGGTGACAGCCTTGGTGTTCTCCACAAGGAGAATTCAGCAGCTCTGGGGCAGTTTTGGAAAAAGCAATAACCAGTGCTGTCCAAGGGTGCAGATGTTTTTGTCTCCTCATCAATATGAACTTCAGCCCTTCTCCTCCAGGAATGCTCCATCCTTGGGTGCCCTTCCAGAAACATCTCAGCCAAAGTCTGGCAGCAGCAGCACATCCCTCTGGATGTCCAGCCAGGTGGGACAACACCAGGACACCTTCATTGCCTTACAGCAGTTTCTGGATTTCTTCTGAGTTTCTGGATTCCCTCTGCAGTTTTGGGCTCTCCATCACTCTCTCCACAGGTCAGTCTTTGGGGCTTCCTCTCCTTTTCCTCCTTGGAGAAAGGAGCCCCAAGCCCTACATTCCACTCAGAAGAAAGGAGCTCCAAGCCATGTATTCCACCCACAGGCAGCAGGGTCTACATGGGGATGTCTCTGAGGGCACATAGATGTTGGCACTTGAATGTCAGTGTCCAGAGGATCCATCCAATCCATCCCTGTGCCTTGGATCATGAGCCAAAGAAAGCCAAGGAGAAAGGCACTGCCGTGCTTGGCTGCACATTGGCCTCTCCCAGGCAGCTCCCCTGTTTGTGCACCCTCCACAGTGAGATTCCAGCATTTTCCCACCTCTTTGCTGGAGCCTCCTCCCTCCTGCTCTGCACAGCTGTCCCAGGATAATGTTTCACAGAACAGGCCCACCCCTCTTGGGTGGAAGGAGAAGGGTTGAAGAGATGCCTTTTGTTCTGTTTGCTGTGGTGTTTCCAGACCCACAGCCTTGTGTGTGGAACAGCTCTGGGATCAGGGGCACAGTGGGGTTTCTGGGGATCACAGCCACGCCCTGCACCAGCCTTTGCCTCCCCTTTGAGAGAAGTTTTCCAGTTGGCTGTTGTGACTTTGAATCCCATGGAATCTACATGAGCTGAGACCCCAAACAAAGTTTCCTTTTGCTGACTTTGGAAGATTCTGTTAGCTTGAAGCAACCCAAACATGTTTTCCTCTCAGAGTTTCCTAGCAAGGTCCATCTGCCAGCCCTGTAACACCTCCAGGCTGAAGGAGCAGTTGGCATCCTCAGCTGGGGTAACAGCTGGACCAGGGGGACGGGATGGGGTGGAGAGATGAGTGTGACCACACAACCCCTTTGAGAGAAGTTTTCCAGTTGGCTGTTGTGACTTTGAATCCCATGGAATCTACATGAGGACCCCAAACAAACAAAGTTTCCTTTTGCTGACTTTGGAAGATTCTGTTAGCTTGAAGCAACCCAAACATGTTTTCCTCTCAGAGTTTCCTAGCAAGGTCCATCTGCCAGCCCTGTAACACCTCCAGGCCGAAGGAGCAGTTGGCATCCTCAGCTGGGGTAACAGCTGGACCAGGGGGACGGGATGGGGTGGAGAGATGAGTGTGACCACACAAACCTACTGGGCATCACGGCCCCCTCCTGTGCCACTCAAAATGCACCCCATGTCTGTGGTGGTTCCCTCTGCTGCTGTTCAGTTCCCAGGTCACTCAGCTCACTCACATCTTCAGCTGCTTTGCTGAACCAGAACCAAACCATGTAAATTCCTGTGAAAGAACCATTTGGGTGGGATTTAGCAGTGCTGAATTCTCCATTTAATGAATGCCCAACACAGGACAGGACATCAGCCTTTACCAAGGGATTTCCAGTAAATTCTTTGTGGATTTTGCTATTTGCAAGTATGAGTTTTTTGAACCCAGATCCTGAAAGGGTGTTTTACAGCATCCCTGGTACCTGTGTGTCCCTTTGTGGCAGGAGGCTCTGCTGCAGCAGCTCTTTGAGTTGGGTATCAGAAGAACAAGTCCAGCGTTGCCTGCATGGGCCAAATCATCTCCCTTTGGAGTTGGTAAAAAATGTACTTGGCGTTGCTGAGAACAGGTTTTGACCTTCATTCTGAAAAGGAGTGGGATCTTAACCACCAGATTTATCTTCAAGCACAACGGAAAGCCGTGGCTGGAGGGAGCAGGGTCATCCCAGGAGGCAGAGTGAGGCTCCAGGGCTGAGGGATTTCCCTTCGGGCAGGTGCAGGTCAAAAGTGCACCTGAGGACGCGTCTCGTGAGCGATCGAGCTCCCGACACAGCAGCCGGGGATGAGATGTTTCAGCAGTGACTCAGAGGAAGAAGCTAAATAAACTCCTTTTATTTCAAACACGGGATTAAATTCCTTCATGTCTGGATCATTGAAGGTAAAGCTCCTGTAATCTCCTCACTGCCAACCCCAGCCTGTCGTCTGGTGGCTGCTGGACCCGCTGGGACAGCGAAGGGACGTGGCAGGGACATGGGAGGTGGCAGAGAGGGGAAGAGACAGCTGGGAGCAGAGCTGGCCTCTAGGGTTGCTGCTCCATTAGTGATGTGGCTCATGAAGAGTGTGGATCATCTCTAGGTCAGTGAAAATGTCCTGGGAATTCACAGGCTGAAGATGAAGGAGCTGAGGTGTTACCATGACTGTTTTGCAAGGAGGAGGTTGAGCAGCAACACCGTGGACAAAGCAGTTGTGATAAGGAAAACCCAGAGCCACCACAGCTGTAGTTGTTCAGGTTCTTGCACACTCCAGAGAACCCTGTTTGCTCTCAGTCTCTCCTCGTGCTGCAAAGTGCCTCTGCAAGCACACACTCCTGCTCCCACCGTGTGCTGAAATCCCTCTCTGCTGATCACAGGGGACAAAACATGAGCTGGCATCATTGCTGGAAGCTTTCCCTGCAGGTCTGTGACACCCCAAGCAGGCAGCAAGGGCAGACGTGGCACAAGTGTCACTTGAGGGCCTTTGCTGGCAAAGCCTCTCCCAGGAGTGTCCTGGGCCTGGTCTGACTGAGGAGGGCTGTGCTGCCTGGCACTGCTGGGCACCAGCTGGGAATATGGGGCTGGCTCAGGGCTGCCAAATGTCATCAGGTTTGCTGGACCCAGCTGGAGGCAGAGGAAAGTGACAGGACTGTGGGACCAGGCAGCGTCTGCAGAGGAAAATGCCACACAGCCATGAGCATCCAAGCACTGCCTGCAGCAGGGGGTGACCCTCATCCACGGTAATTGCCTGAAAGTGAGAGGGTTTAGAATTGCTCTTGTTGCTTTCGGTTTCTCCACGGATTTTTCATGGTGCTGCAGGTAAACTTCATGCAAGATGTGCTGGTTTTATTGCAGGACTGATGGGTCCATCCAAACCACAGCAGATGCTCCAAATGTTTGTTCTCTTGGTTTTGAGCAGGATGGTAAATCCACGGGGGTGCCTCACGCCCCAAGGACACCGAGCTGGTGCTTCCCAACCTGTGATTTGATGTCATCTTCCTGCAGGAGTTTGGGGCTTAGGTAATTGTTCTTTACTGCACAAAGCCCTTTCAGAGGTGGATTTATTGTTCATGTTGCTGGGGAAATATCGGGTTAGTTGTTGAAGAGTGCCAAAAAAAAAGGGCTAGCAAGAAATCTATAATATAAAGACAATTTTATTGCCGATAAGCTCTTAAAACTCATTTTTTTTCCTGTTTCAGTAGGACCTTATTCTTCCTGATGAAAATCCGGTCATAGCATCTTTCATTAAAAATAAAATTATTTTGAAATAAATAAATATATAAAATAAATATCATATACATTTTATAAATAGTTTTGTCCTTATGCACAGTATCCATGCTTACATCTGAATAATGTTCCTTGCCCCATTCCCACCCCAACAGCAGGAAGAACCCCACAAATCAGGACCAGTCCATGGAGCATCATCCATGTAGCAAACTCCCAGGCTGCTTAAGCAGGGCACCACTCAAAGGCTTTTCCTTAGCAGGGAACTATCCCAGCTCAGCAGCAACATCTGCAGCAGTTCTGTGGTCTTTGTTTTCTTTTCTTCTCTTCATTTTTAGGTTGTTTAGGGGCTTTCTTTTCCCCAGTGATCTGGTGTGCTCACCTGCTCATTCCTTTAAGCAACCATAACATTGAATATTCAGCCTCTCTTGTAGCAACCGGGTAACAAAAGTGAACGAAAATGGAAGATTAAATGTAGGGTTCCCTCCCTTCCCCTACCCCCGCCCCATAAATAACCCAGGTTCGATATATACTGGAAACAAGGAGGAACAGCAGTGTCTGAATTCAATGTAAGTGCTTCCCTAGGTCATCTACTCTTACAGGAATGATGGAATGACTATTAATAGAGTGCTCTGGGAAAAAAGCTTGGGAGGCCAAGTATGTACACTGACACCGCAGGAACCATCACCTGTAGTGGAAGAGGTCTCTGTACATGGCAGGGATTTTGGCAGGGTCCACAGGCCGGGGTAAGAAGTGGGTGAATTTCTGGTGTCTCTTAGTCCTGTACCCCTCGCGGGGGGAGCCGTCCTTGTTGAGGGCCACGTAGTACTGGCGCTCCGAGTCGGGGTGCTTGTACAGGGTGGAGGCGTACGTGTTGTACCAGTTCTCCTCGAACTGCTCGCGGAAAACGCACTCCCGGGTGAGCTTCTTCTGCCGTGGGCAGCGCAGCAGGGGAGCAAAGAGACACTCGTGTTAAAAAGGTACAAGAAAAAGCACTGGCACCATTCCTTACTTTGTTTTTCTAGCATTTTCCCAGCTGCCTTCTCCTGGCTCCCCTGAGGATGAGGATTGTGCTGCTGGGGATGACTGCCCTGGATGAGAGCTGGAAATGGGCACAGGTCAAGACTCAAGGATCTCTGGAGTTGAACGAGGAAGGAGACAAAAGCAGGAGAAGGTGGGCATGGGTTTTGCAAAGGTGCTCCATGAATAAATCAGACAGGCACACAACAAAGATCCAAACCTGTCCAAGTGTGAGTTTGAGCTCTCTGGGGTGGTCATGCCACAGGCAGGGACACGTCCCCCTGTAGCTGCCCCCCCAAGGTACCACACACCCCAAATCCCCTCTCTTGGGTGACAGAAGCAGCAGGCAGCACATCTGAAGGGTTCTAAACAGGAAAACAGGAGCAAACACTGCTTTGGAAGTTCAGGGCACACAGCTGGATGCACTGAGATGGGAATGAAAGCATTGCTCAGGATTTCACCTCCTGCTGTGGCAGTGAGCTGTGATGGGAGGCTGTAACAAGACCCAGAGGGACGTGGCATGCCAGACCCCAGGGGACATTTAGGGTGGCCATAGGTGATGTGATAAGAGTGTGTGGTTTGTGCATCCCACGCTGGCATGGGGGGACAGATGGCACTGGTGTCACCACAGCCACAGCCAGCCTTCCCATCCAGCCCTTACAGCTGGGGGCTCTTGGCTGTTTGATGATGGACTTTTCGTTCATGTCCAGTGTTCCTTCTCTCTCCCTCCCATCTCCATGTGTCAGCTACAGGGATGTGCCTGGCTGCAGGGGGGAGCAAGGCTGTCCCTCTGCCCCACAAGGACACAGGTGGCTTTGCCAGCCCTGCTGTGCTGTCACAGAGGGTCCAGCCTTCCCATCCCACAAGGGTACTGCCAGGGTGACTGGGAGCCCTTTCAGCTGAAGGGCAGCCTGCAAATGTAGAGTGCTCTAAGATTACAGCCACTGTCCCTCCACTGTAAACTATCTGGGCAGGGAATGTGTCCCCTCTGCAGCACACTGAGTGCTCAGTAAATGTTACTGCCTGCAGTAGATGTGTTTTGTAACACAATCCAGGAGCTCACCTGTGCTCAGAACCTGTTTTCAATGTTTTGCTGCTAATTAAATAAAGCCTGAGGTGACTTGTGAGCCCTCCAAAAGTCCTGGGCCACAGCCTTGGCCATCTGAGACCCAGAGAACTGCGGGCTTCTCTTCCCAGCTCTGTCAATAAATACAGGCTGGGTTTTTTCCCTCCTCTCAGATGCCATCTACTTGGAATATGTTGGAACCTGATGACTGGCTGAACTCTGGCTGTTGCTCTGCCCCCATTCCCCCGTGCTGCACTGGGCAGTTTGGAGTACAGTGCTTGTGGAAAATGTTTGGCGAGTCTGGGGTGATTCTGCAAGGTGTGATTTATTCCTTTCCAAGCCCCGGGATGTCCCCACTGAACCTGACACCACACAGGCAGCAGGCAAGGTGCTGCCCGTGACTTTTGCTGCCCTAAGTATTAGTGGCATTTCTGAAATCCTTGGGGAGCTTTACAGAAATGCTGGCACGAGGTCAACAGGGACAGGCGGAAGAGCTCTGTGTCCTGAGGGGACTCCACGTGTCGCTGTGGGGATGGCTGGCTCTGGCTGCATCAACACAGGCATCAGGCAAAATTGGCACAGAGGGAAATAATAAACTTGCTGAAAATTTAAAAATACCGCTGTACTGTGCTCTCCCAAAATACCATTGTAATGCTAATGCTGTTGTCAGGCGCTGTTTTATGGACCTTTAATTAAGAATACTGTAGTGGCTTTTGAGTTCCAAAAGCCATCATTGTACAACCCACGTGTCCCAGATTTTAAAACTCCAGGGTTATTTGGGGACCTGGCTCATGACACCGGCAGTTTGGAGCAGCCTTTTGAGTGTGTCCCTGCAGCGTCCTGCCTGGTGCACAAGATCCCAGAATGGTTTGGGTTGGAAACAACCTTAAAGATCACCTCATTACAGACCCCTGCCATGGCCAGGGACAGCTCCCATGACTGTCTTCAGGTCACTTCTGTTTCCAGATTCAGTGCTGTAAAATGTTACCCTATTTTTGTTTCTGTGTTGTAACATGAACACGGGATCTAGAATTTAATTAACCCATCATGAAACTCAATTCACAATCAGAGCTGCAGGGTTTGAAGACAAAGAGGGGGGAAAACATGGGCTCATGTTCTCCAGCAGGCATGAGTGAAAGCTGAAACTCCAGGAGCTGCTGAGCAGCCTTAGAGTTTGACAGGAGAGGTGCTGCTCTAGCCCTGCTTTCTGAAGTGTGCTTCAGGAGATTTCGTGGTCTATGGAATCCTGGTGATTTTTCTTTTTTCTATTTTGCACATTTATAATTTAACCACTGTCTCTGCATTTAGCTGCTGTGCTGGGCAGAAGCTGTTACAGAAATGAGGTGGGAAGAGAACAGTTATTGGTGCATTAATTTGATGATCAGAGGATCACAGAGAGGTTTGGGTTGGAAGGGACCTTAAAGCTCATCCCTGCCCTGGGCAGAGACACCTTCCACTATCCAACATTGCTCCAAGCCCCATCCAGCCTGGCCTTGGACACTTGCAGGGATGGGGCAGCCACAGCTTCTCTGGACAATCTCATATAAACATCAGCAGCTCTGTCTTAAATGGTGGAAGGGTCTGCAGCAGTCTCAGGTGGAAATGGCACAGGGAAAAATGAGCTGAACTCCTGGTTTATTGTTTGCCAAACAAAGGTTTTCTTACAGCTTCTGTGTATGCAGAGTACATGAGCTTTAACTTGTACACTGAAGCTTATCTGATGGTGAGAGGAAGTGCTGCCTTCTGCTGCCTTCAGCTTTGGTTTAAAACTGGTTTATTTGATTTCATTTTATTTTTACTGTGATCCACCCTTAATTGAGCTAAATAATTAGGAACTAAGTTAAATTAACCTGTAGGAAGCACCTCTGCCCAGCTGTTAAAACCTGACATTTTGACTGTAAGTCATAACACTTAACGAGTTTACACTTGGGGTTTTTAGTAAAAACATGGAAAATTTTAGCCTGAAAAGGGCACTTCTAGGAAATCATGAACAGCAGCTCTAAACTCCTAAAAGGAGTTACAGAGAATTTTACAATAACACTCAGGCTACAAGAACAGCAGATAGGTGCAGACCTGATCATGAGAGGTGACTAAAACTGATGTGTTACTCAGGCTGGGTAAACACATAAACAGTTCCTGGCTTTTTGCTAAATGTCCCCCTGCCTTTACCTGACCATTGCCACACCACTTCTGAAAGGCAAAACTCAGTGTGATGTCTGGGGGCTGGGCACCACTGTGGGCTCTCACAGCAGGAGTGAATCCTCTCTCAAACCCAATTTCCTCATATATTATGTTAAAACAGCAGTGGCATCAAGGGTAGGATGGAGATCACTGGCACCCCAAGGATGTGGAGGGCCTGTGACAGAGCAGCTTGTGACACAGCTGAGGCCACAAGCTGCAGTGCTGCCTGTGGGACAGGGTGGCATGAGCCCAGCCTGAACTTACCGACCCATAGAGCTCGCCTCTCTCATTCATGCCGAGGTAGAGTCCGGAGTCCACCCCACGGATGCTCACCAGCCCCACTGCCAGGCTAATAAACTCCAAAATCCCTAAAAAGAAAAAAAAGACTCTGCAAATCATACAGAGGGAAAAAAACCACCAGGCTCCAGCAACACAAACAAATCAGCCATTCCCAGTAACAATATAGTTCTTAACTCTATAGTCCCATCTGTGTGCAATCTTCTGATTTCCAGACTGGGCTTCTCCCCAGCATTGTGAATTTGAGTTGCCCAAGTGGGATTGTCTTTGCTAATGAGAAAAGCTTTGCAAGGTTTTGTTGGTTTGGGTTTGGATTTTTTCATAATTATCACCAAGAAGACAGATGTAGAAACTTGGGCCTGGCCACCAGCAATGTCAGAAGGCTGTTACCCTGCTAGGTTTTATTCTTCACCAAAATGAGTGTCATTTTGTCTTCTAGAGTAAGATAATTGTTCTACAGGTTTTAATGTCATGGGTTCAGTAAAAAGAAGTGAAAAGCACTAGAAGAGATGTCTGTGAGGACTATCTTCATCCTGGCACTCCAGTGGCATACTTGTCAACCCAAAATGTGTATACAAGCCATAGGGATAAAATCCAGCTTCAAAGCACACAGGTTAAAAACGCATCTTCCTCTGCAGCCGTCAGAACCATGGCACTGCCAGCCCTTCCTCCATCACCCCCTGCCACTGCTACTGCCAGAACCCCTCCTGCCCGCTATGTCCTGCTGCCTGTCCCAGCCTCCTGCCTCTTCCCAGTGCAGCAGCATCTGTCCCAGCCATCCCCAGCCCTGCAACAGCAACTGTTTTACCCATGGGCTGCAGCCTGCTATGATGGCAGCAGCCGCATTTCCTCTGGAAAGAAACAGCAGGGTCTGGCTGCTGCACCCCCACAGCTGCAGCTGTTTCAATGGGGGAAGGACTTGTAACAGGAGAACCTCTGGTGAAGCACTTAAAAACAAACAGCCCCAACACCAAAAGTGGTGGGGACCTTCAATCTTCCCAGGAAGACTTCCTGAAGGCAGTGGTGAGACTTTGTTATGATGGATTTCACACACTATGTATGCAGAAGTCACAGACAGTTTTGCCAGTGTCCAGTGCAGGATTAATTAGCTGGGAGGCAGAAGGAAGAGGGTTTTCCTCATCTCATTTGATGACTGAATGTCTCCATTGACTGGAGGGGAAAGTTCCTCTAACCTTTAGCATGGCTCCAGCTCTCCTAATATAGCTCCCAAAACATCCAGCCCTGGGCAATTGATGCTCTGATCAGGTTACCTCCCAGAGCTCCTCTTAAAAGTATTGCCTTGGTTTTAAGCCACCGCGTGACAAGCGGCCACCTGAGCCAGCTGACTTCAGTGGCAGCCACAGCTCTGGGTCACCCCACAGCCTGGGGCATGGATGTGACAACTCTCAGATGACACTGCATCACTGCCTATAAACAGGACAGCCCAGACGGCCATGGACACCCCTGACCCACTTTGTGCAGTGCAGACTCACCATCAGGTGCTGGCAGCTAAGCCGGCTGCAGGAATTCCTACCTACCCTGAGACCTTCTGTCCTCCCTTTCCCCTGCCTGCTCTAGGGCTTGTGCATCTAATCCAGCCCTCCCTGAAACCAGTGGGTGCTAGGGGACATGAAATATGGACTTGGGAGGAAAACAGGGAAGCAAACAACACAAAACATACTTCATGGACCAGAGCAGACATTTTACAGGCTGAAATATACCCAGCTACGCATCCTGGCCTGGGGACACATCCTGCCTGCAGAAACATCAGGAACAGGCAGCATAGGCAAGGAAGGCAGCCTTTCCAAGCCAGACAGGCACAGAACCTGGCTCTGCTCTCCTCAGTAGCTGTTCTTAGCTGAAAAGAATCCCAAACAGGGAAGAGAGAGGTGCAGATGAGGGGTGGTTTCCTCCCTTCACTACCTACCAGTTCTGACATGAGGGGGTTACTGAACTGCTGAGAGCTTTTTTCCCATCTGCAGACCATAGCATAGCCACTCTTTGAAAAGGAGGGAGTGAGAAAAGATGGATAACTGCAGGGAGTGTAAAAAGTAAAGCAGGAGTACACAGATACAGCCAGGAACAGGGGAGTGTTTCCCAGGCTGGAGACAAAGGAAAATTCAAGTGAAACATATCAAGTAACTGGAGAATGGTAGATGGACCTTCCTGTATGTAGGTATAGACACAGCCCTCAGCTCAGCACTTTTTTGTGAGAAGCAGGAAAATGTTGCTGGTTCCACTGAGAAACTGAGGGATGTCTAAGGCAGGGGAACCCAGATCTTTTCCTGAGTATGCCCACACGCATGCTCTGTATGAGGCACATCAATCCAGGTCTCCAAAGACCTGGGAAGGACCAAGCCAGGAGCAGCAGCAGCATCTTCCCTCTCTGAGCAGGAATGAGACATCCCTCACCTGGTGCAGGCTGGGTAGATATGGGATTTGCAAATGAAGTTTCTTCCAATACGTGCCCATGACAATCTCTTCTGACAACATCCCTTGCAGTATTCCTCTTTTCTGATCTCTGAGTGGCACTTGGAGACATGCATGGAAGATGACTACGTTGAAAGAGCATTAAGAACGTAACTTGAACCCACAAAAGTCAGGAGACAGAGTGAAGGCTGAAAATATGTGGGCGGATATCCATCCTGTCCTTAACTCACTCCAATTGTAGACAAAATTGCAGCTTCGTACATCTGATCTCCAGCAGCACAGGGAGTGGCCACTGGGGCCAGCTCAAGAATTCTCTTTCCAATTGTAGCGGTGTGTTTATGTGGTAGAACATGCTTTTGGTTTTTTTTTTTCTTTTGCTTTCTTTTTTTTTTCCCAGGACTTGCCTCTTTTTGTCCTTACTTTGATTATTCATTCTCTTTGTTCCTTGAGTCTTTCCAGATAAGACTTGGAGAGATTTGATTAAGACGCTGACTGGATTCATTTACCACTAAAGCACTGAATAATCTCCTGAGCTTTGCCATGACCAGACCCACACACTCTCGCCTTACTCTAAACCATCCCTCAAAGAACAATTCAGCTCCCTGCACCTGTCTCTTCTTACATGACTGTATTCAGGAGCTGGGGAACAGAAACATCAGACATTGTATTAATGGCTACAAACATAAAGCTTTGGCTAAAAACCTCAACAACTGTTCAGCAACAGGTGCACTATGGTCTGAATGTCAAAATTACAGCCAAACTTTCTCTGGAGGTCTCAGAAGCTTCTCTAGGAATCTGTGTAACATATCCATGAGCAGGTTTGTACCCCAGAAGAGCTTTGTTTTCTGCCTTTATTCATCTGCAGGGCAACCTCAAGGCCTCTTTCTCTCCTCCACTGCAGTGAGCAGCACCGTTGGGTTCACTTCTTTAATGCTGCTGTAAAAGAGATGTGAGGCAGAAAAGGAGCAGTTCCTCCTGGCAGGGATTTTCCTGGCAAATTTCTCTCAGTTTCATTCTGAGAAGGATCCTCATAGGAGTGCTAATGTCAGTCCAGACCCCCTCCAGATTTTGATCATCCTTTATTTCTTAGTAGAGGAAGGTTCTGAATAGATGCAGTGAGAGAGATACATTTTGGAAAACACTTTATCCTTTGGGGGTGACCTTGCCAGAGCACTTCTGTAGTGGGCACTTCTGTAGTGTGACAATGAGCTTTCTTCCAAGAAATTTAGAGGGCTTTTCCACATTTTGCATTAAAGCTCCTCTAGGAAAAATAAGCTGCACTCCATTGTTCTTGCAAGAATCTGTGTTTTTAGAAGTATAAAATATCACATTCCAGAAGACAGGTGTGATTTAGGAAAGCTCCAGACCTTGACAGTTAAGAGGCAGTAGTTCCAGTGATTGCTCAGGCAGCCTGGGTGGATGATACCAGTACCTACCCTGTGTCCTCCAGTCACACCCCCAAATGCTGTGGTACAAAAGCATCTCTTCCTTTAACCCTCACTGCTGGGACCTTGGGACTCTGTTCTACATCAGCAGGGCTTTGGCTATTTTCCTCTCTGGAAGATGTTGGATATCTTGCACATCTGGTAGCTTTTGGGATGGCTGCACATGGGAGGGTGCAGACACTGCCTGTCTATTCCTGAATCCCTTCCAAATGAAGAGACAGGGATGCCAAGTCCGTTCTTCCCAACATCCCACCTGCAGCTGGACACGTGCCTGGGCTGTGGCATCACAGCCATCCATGGAGCACCTTAATTATCTGCTCATGGTACCAGCAAGCACCTTCCAGCCACGTGGACTTGATCCTGGATTTCTAAGTATTTCTCCAGGTGCTTCAAGATTTATGGCAGCTTTAAAGTGCTTCCCTGAACCCCTCATCTACCTCTGCATCCCTCACCACAGCTTTGGAGTCCCCAGAATCACTCAGGCTGTCTATTCCTAAGTTACTTCTTTCTGACTGTTGCATGCAAAATTTAGGAATGCATCGATACATGACATCCTAATATGAACCATACCAGTAACATTGGAATTTAAATATTCATGGCTACTGAACGCAGATGGTGAATACTGTGTGCCAATACATTATTGCTTTGAGTCTCTGCTGAAGCAAGGCTCAGTCCAACTTGATCTGAACGCAAGGATTCCAGTCTAATCCTTTGGGGCTTTGTCTTGCAATTACAACAAATAACTATTTATTTTACACCACCTCTGGGAAAACCCTGAAGCAGAAAACTATAATATCTGAAGTCTGGTCTAGTTTACGGAGCTGGATGCAGACTGCTAAAACACTTAGGGAATGCCAACGCTTCGATTTATTGAAATCACTGTGTGACTTAAACTTCAGCGTGCAAAATCCATGAGAAGTTTTAGCATGTCTAACATGTTTTTTCCAAGTTGGAAAATATACTTGTTTTACTTTATAAAAAATGGACCTGAAACAAATGTAGCTATTTGAAACTGGCTGTTTAGATCTACAAAGGTAAGGAAAAAGAACTGATAGACTAGAAACACTACGTGGCAGCTTGAACTAAAACCAACCAGATGCAATGGGTTTGCTTTCAACTCTTTGAACATGGAAACCCATTGCGTATTACAGCATGAAAGGTTAAAGGATGGGTGTTTTCAGGAGGTAATTAAAGAAAGCTTGCCCCACGAGCACATTAGTACCTGACTCTGACCCGCGGGTTATGACTTTCTTGTTGATTTAGGCAGGGACATGCCATGCACACACCTGGTGTTTATGGAAAGATAAGCTTCCCCAATTGTTCCAAAAACCTGCCTTACACCTCCAACAATAGCAGCGGCAGCACTTCCCGGAGTATCAGAACTGACTGGTTGCAAACAAGTAAAGGCAAAAAAAGAATTCCTTTCACAGAGGAGTTAAATCACTTGAAAACTATAAAAAGTCTTGCGAGCATATCTTGCAACCTGTTGACAACATAGCTGAGATCACTGGCAGGGGACTTGTTGATAGCTTATACAGACACCTGCACTAGATGCTGGAGTAGCGGGAATTCCTCTCACTGTGCTCAAACTGACTGTTCTCTTTCGCCTGTGGCTTGGGATGCATTTTTTGAAGATTACATATAGTCTCATTAGAGATCACTGCTCTTGTATGCCACTGATACAGGCACTGCATTCTTCAGTTGTATCCCGGGCAGCAAGGTAAATCCACGGTGCTCTGCCTATTGTTCCATCTTCTTTCTTTCCGAGGTCCCCTAAGTGTTTTTCCCTCTTCAGCTTCCCCCTTTCCTTTCCAGCAACCTTCCCAAACCCAGCTCCCGACGCCCCTCCAGCCAACAGATCCCTGCCTGCTTTGGGGAGACGCTCTTCTAATCAAAGTCATGCATGTAAAAGAAAGCAGCTCACAAACATCTGCAGACGCCAGAAAGAAGGAGGAGTTTAAAAAAAAAGGAAAAAAAAAGCGAGGAATTTCTTTTTCCAATCTAGGAATTTCCAAGAAATTCCAACGAGGAACGTCTCTGTTCTGCCTCCCTCACCACTAACTTCAGAGACAGCGCTAAAGCTGGTCACCGTCCTCTTTTTTTTTCTTTATTATTTTTTTTTCTTTTTTTTTTTTTAGTTTGTCTTGCAAAGTTTTCTTTATTATTTTTTTCTTTTTTTTTTTTTTAGTTTGTCTTGCAAAGGCACGTTTTAGTGCACCTGCAGAAAGGCTGAGCGCCGGGAGAGTAGGAAATTGGAAATAAAAACTCCCGCATTGCTAGGGAGTGAGCGCATTTGTTTAGGAGGCCAATTATATCCGTCCCGGGATGATTTATATTAGCGGGGTAATTAGTTGTGCGCGCGGGGCACCTGCTCGGGCACCCCCCGGCCCCTTACCGAAGCGGCTGTGGTCCTGCCGGGTGCCCTGCACCGTGCCGTTGGGGAAGATCTCCAGGTGGAAGCCGGTGCGGCAGTAGAGCTGCCGCCGCCGCAGGATGCCCTTGAGGTGAGCGAAGTCGGTGGGGGAGCCCCGCTGCAGCCGCCCCTCGATCTGCCCCAGGCGCTCGTTGAGGAAGCCGGGAGAGTCGGCGAGGGGCAGCCCGGCGCCCAGCGCGGGGGGAAAGCCGTGCAGGTCGGGGTCCAGCGCGCCCAGGAAGCCACCCACCTCGGCCATGGGCGCGGAGCGGAGCGGCCCCGGGGGCGCGGGCAGAGCGGCCGCTCAGAGCGCGGGCTGCGGCCGCCCGGCCCCGCGCTGCCGGCCCCGGCCCGGCCCCGCGCCGCCCGCGCCTCCCATCGCTGGATCCAGTGTCCCGCCGTCGGATGCGAACTGCACTTTATATACGTACACACTCCCCTTACATTGACATATTGGATATTTAAATGCAAGCCACACCTCACTGGCATCCCCTTTGGCTATTGCTTCCCTCCCCCCCTTCTCTGATGCATTTGGCTTTTTTTTTCCTTTAAAAAAAAAAAAGGGAGAAAAAAAAAGAAGGAGGAAAAAAAAAAGCCCCGCTTCACTCCCTCTTTTATTATGAAAAAAATGGCAGGAAAAAGCTACACATCGCAGTGAGGCGTAACAGCTCTTGGCAGGTCCCCGCGAGCCGACGATGAAATCATGGAGCCCCGCACGCACCCGCTCCCGCACCGCCGGCAGCCCCGGCCCCGCAGCCCCGACCCCAGACCCCGCACGGGCCGGGTCGGTCAGAGCCCCCGGGCGGGTCGGTGGCCCCGGGGCTGTCGGAAGCCCCAGGTCCGTCGGTGCCGCCACCGCCTCAGCCCCGAGCGTGCCCCCCACCCACCACCCCCCGGAACGGACACGGTGGGAAAAAAACAACGCGTAAGGAGAGGGTCGAGACGCGTTTTTCAGCCGAACGTGTTAAAAACAGAACGCGATGTTTCTGAAAGGCGATCCCACGGGCTGTACGGCCGGGTTACAGCCGCCGGGAGGGGAGGGAGCCCGCGGCGGGGCCGGGCAGTGCCGCTCGCTCTCCCTCCCCACCTTCCCCATGTTGGAAACAGGTGTTTCCGCGCTCTCCCGGCCCGCCGACACCGTATCTGCGCCGGCAGCTGCGGCCGCGGCGCAGACAGACGGAGCCGGGCGGGGCGGAGCGGGGGAACCGGCGGGACGCGGGCACAGACGGGCCGAGGGACCGAGGGCAGGGAGCGGCCCCGCCCTGCCCGGCAGGCGGCGCTGCTGCTCGCGCCGCTGCTGCTCGCGCCGCGCCGCCCCGGGGCGCTGGGCCCAGCGCGGGTGCTGAGGGGGCCCGGGTGGGCCCGCGTTCGGGCCTGGATTGCCGTGTCCCTGGAGCGGGGTGTCGCCCGCGCCCTCTGCCGTGCCTCGCCAGGGGATACAGACCCCACAAACAAACAACCACAAGCACCCAAAACTGCCCCCAGGCCACCAGCCCGCTCTGCTGCCGCGGCTCCTCCGGGTGGCATCAGCGTGCAGAGCTGAGGCACCGGTGATGTCCACCCCAGCGGGTCCCCCCACGGGGTATCCCCCCCGTGGGGTTTCTTCCCGAGCGGATATCCTCTCAGAGGGTCTCTCCCCTCAGTGGGTCCCCTCATAGTGGGTATTCCCTCAGCGGGTTTCTCCCCTTATCTGGTCTCTTACTTCAGCAGATCTCTCTGCAGTGTCTCTCTCCTCGTAGCAGGTGAGAGACTTCTCTCAGTAGGTTCTCTCCTCAGCAAGTCTACCACACAGTGGAAGAGAGCTCAGCAGGTCTGTCACTTGAGAAAGTCTCTCCCTTCCAGTGGATTTTCCTTCAGGGGGTTTCCACTTCAGTGGGTCTATCCCCTCATCAGGTCGCTTCCCTCAGAAAGTCTATCCCTTGGCAGATCTAAGCCCTTGGCAGGTCTTTCCCCTTGGAGAGTGTCTGCCCTACTGCGGATGTGCTTTCAGTAGTTCCCGCCATAATGGGTCTCTCCCCTCAGAGAGTGTCTTCCCTGCTGTGGGTTCTCCCTCAGACGGTCCCCACCATGGCAGGTCTTCCCTCAGCGGGTCTCTGCTCTCAGAAACGGTCTCCACCGCAGTGTGTTCCCCCTATTGTGAGTCTCCCCTCAGTGCATCTCTTCCCTCAGCAAGTCTATCCCATGGTGAGTCTCCCTGCAATGTGTCTCTCCCCTCAGACTGTGTGGATACACCATCCCCTCGATGGGCGTCTCCCTCACAGTAGATTCCTGATCAGGGGGTTCTGGCCATGGCAGGTCTCTCCCCTCAGAGAGTGTCTCCCACACTGTGGATGTGCTCTTACTCCACCTTTGTGGCTCTCCCCTGAGAGTGACTCTCCCTGTAGCAGATCTCTTCCTCAGCAAGTCTATCCCATGGTGAGTCTCCCCGTAATGTGTCTCCCCCATAGTAGATTCCCCCTCAGAATGTTCCCGCCATGGTTGGTCTCCCCTCAGTGTGTCTCTCCCATCAGAAAGTCTCTCCCCATTAGGAGGTTTCTACCATGATGGGTGTCCCCTCAGCAGGTCTCTCAACTTGGAGAGGGTCTCTCACAGTGGGTTTCTCCTAAGTGGGTTGCTGCCATGGGGAGAAAATCTCTCCTCCTCAGCTGGGTTCCCGCCATGGCGGGTGTCTCCCCCTCAGGTGGGTTCCCGCCATGGCGGGTGTCTCCCCCTCAGGTGGGTTCCCGCCATGGCGGGTGTCTCCCCCTCAGGTGGGTTCCCGCCATGGTGTCTGTCTCTCCCTCATCTGGGTTCCCGCCATGGTGGGTCTCTCCCCCTCAGCTGGGTTCCCGCCATGGTGGGTCTCCCCTCAGTAAGGTGCTGCTCCCCACATCACCCCAGAGGGAGGGTTAAAATGGTCCCTGCTTGCAGGTCCTTTCCCCCAGACCCAGGCAGTGTTCTCTTGTGAAGACATGAAGGAAATTGTGATCCAGTGATGTGAAACATCCACCCATGTGTCTGCAGTGGATGAGGAGTCTGGTTTTTAAATGGGATTTGGGGTGATTTTCCTGTCAGAGCTGTGGCTATAAAAGGGGTGTTCATGCAGAATTTGACACATGAAGCCTAAACTTATGTTTTTTATAGAAATATAGGCTGTTTCAGAGGTAGTAAAATCTAGTGAAGTGAGTTTGTTGACTATTTGTTTGTCGTGTTTGGTTACCACTGTCTGAGGAGTTCAAGCATCCTATTGCAAAAATGGTTTTGTTGCTATAGTATCTATATGAAGGGTCAGGTGTGATGAGGTAATTGAAAGAAATAAATTGTGCTTTGGTGAAAATGACAGAGGTCCAAGATGGGGAGGGGCCAGACAGCTGACAGGACACCCCAAACCTGGAATTACTGTTAAGGATGTAATCCTGTAAAGGCTATGAATTTAATGTATAAGATTAATGTAAAGTGAATGATCCTGCTACAATCAAAGACACTCTTCTGTGAAACCTGGTTTTGCTGATGTAAGTGTGAGGTTTGCCTGTGGATCCATAGCAAATTCAATTTTTTCAGTCCTTATTTCTGCACATGTCTGAGGGCTGATCCCAGGGGGATTAAGAAGTGAGGAAGACCTAGTTTCCACAGTGCAGGACTAGCCAAACTCTGCAGAGGCCTCTGCTAGGAACTTCAATCTCTTCTGGATCTGTCTACAATATCCTTAAACCCAAATCCACACAAGCACTTAGTGGAACACTTAGGAAACTGAAAAAGGTAACAGAGTTCAATTACACTCCAGTAAAATCCGAGATAAAGTAAAAACCCACAAACCTTCATGCTTAACTAATGTATAACAAAAGCAGCACAATCCCCCATCCAAGCTGACATTCCTCACTTAACTCTCCCGATTATGGTCAGCTTTTGAAGTGTCCGCAATACATTTTATTGAGAAATTGTACATGCTGGTACAACATGTTCTATTTAGGCACAACAGGATGTGGAAAAGGTAGTTTTGCATCTTTCTTTTTTCTTTTTCTTTTTTGTCTTTAATTTCCTGGTTTATTTATGTTTTTACTAAGTTGAGGAAAAAAGCAGAGATTTGTGCCCTGTGTTTTTTGAAGAGAAAGAGGGATGTATTTTAAGTACTGAAAGCTAGAATGACTCCTCCAAAAGCAGAAACAAGTTCAGTGATTTTTTTATCTATGACATAGAACACAGTTCTGTACTCAGTAATTTCTTAAAGGACAAAATCTTATGTAAAATTTGTGTCACAGAACATAAGAGTGTTACAAAATTAACTTTCTGCCCTGCTTTTTCAGTTCCCCCAAGTTTATTCTTTGATTATAGTTTGTATTGCCCACCTTGGGAACTAAAATGGCTACTGCCAAACTGCTCTGTATTCCAGTTTTCAGAATAATTAGCAATGATTTTTATACCCAGTTTGCTAAAACAGACCTTGCAGACTCCTTCCACATGCTGTAGAAGTGTATTTAGTGAGGTAGTAAAAATATTAATGGCATTTACTGTCAGAGTAATTTCTATCAGTGGAGAGTAGCCACATTTGGTATCTAGCTATAAAATCAAAGGAAGGGCAGGACTGGGATCTGAACAGTAAATAAATTAGAAAAGAATAAGATAAATAACTGCAATGAGCCAACCCAGTATCTGAGCTACTAGATACTGCATATCCTCTGCCTGGGGCTATTCCATTTGGTAAAGAAAAGATCAAGACAGCTGAAATAATTTGAAGTAGCAATGGCCATGAATGCAAAAACAGACGTGAAGAATATCTGAGGATAAAGAAAGAACAGAGCCTTGAGCTTTAATAAATAATACTTCTGCTTCCTTAGCACTTCCCACCTTGGGATCTTACAACAATCTATGTACACTAATTAATTAAGACTCACAACCAAGGTCACTGTGCAGCTCCTTTTCCCTGGACGGTCTCCTTTTCCACTAAGGTTGTCCAAAGGATATTGATGGCTTTCTGTATTTGTTTGGGATTTTGGATGCATAGCAGCCCTGCTGGAGCAGAAGCTCTGACCAGGTTTCTATATATCCAGAAACCAGACACGTCCACCGTGAGCCTTTCTGCCTTTTGTGGTGTGGTGACCATCTGTGCTGCACATGCAAGGAATGTCTGAGCTCTCCGGGCAGATAAACAGGGCAATCTCCTTTGTGAGAGGGCGAATAAACAAATTTTCTTAAGGGGAGCAGAGGATGGTTTATTGGTTTTTATCTTTGATTGGTTTTACTTAAGCTACTATTATTATCATCATCTTTTGTAGTACCACTTCCAGGCCACAGACCCTGTTTGTGCTGGATACTGCCTTAACAAGCGTGTAACAAACCGGAGTGCTTGACCTGAGGAATCTCACTGCTCTGCCTTGTGGAAGGATTCCTACTGTAAGGCAACAGACTCTCCATCAAGGTATAGAACTATGTGTAAAAGTATTTGGCACGTTTAGAATTGGTGGCAGAATGAAGGTCTAAAGGATAAAGATCTGAACTTGCCTACCTGGGTCTTGGAATCAGATGCCTAAATAAATGATGT